GCTCTCGCGCTTCCCGGCGCGGCACTGGTTGGAAGGGCTTTCGCACCGCAGAGCGCCCTGATCCCGCTCTTCCAGCAATGCCAAGTGAGCAATCCCCGCTTGAAGCCATTTACCGGGGATTGGAGACAAGCACGTGAGCACGATGATGTCGGCGAGGACAAACCGGGGAGACGGCATGCCTGACTGGAACGCAGGATAGCCTTCCTTCTGGCACAGGGCGATGCAGCGCATCGCGTGCCATTGCTCGGGGCTAGGCAGGCGAGCTGGGAGACATCGAGCCCTCCACCTTGCAAAAGACTCTTCCCCCCCCTTTTTTTTTGTTTGTTTTAGAATTGTTAACTAGGCCAAGTACAAAAGACGGGGCGGGAAGTGGGCGTGATCCTCCAACTGCCGGGACTCACAGTTCGAGCATAAGGGAGTGACTACTTCTATTCCAAACAACTCACCTTTCATAAGGTAGCAAACCATGTTAGAGAAGAGTATGGCGACACCTCCAAAGCAAACAAGTTTTATTTGGTACTATAAGCTTTGTTGCGCTGAACGGACTTGTTGAGATGTATCTGAACTCAGCTACAAAGCTATTCGTTCGTTTTGCTACAAAGATTGCAGACTGACAAGACTAGAAGTCTGGCGATTGTTGCATTAGTTTAAACCTTTCATTTTATCCTCACTTCAGACCATACCCATGTGGTGTCCAGAGCTATAGTCATATTGAGCAGATATGGATAGGCCTGAGGGATACTGAAGAAGCTTTCCATACATTTCTTCTTCCTTCTCATAACCATGTAAGAACTAAGGTTGTGCATTGCCACTGGACAAATCTATGAGAACAGACTGAATCAGGTACTTCTACATTTTGGGACCAGCAATGGAACAGAACAGGCAACTACTTGTTAGACTCTGGAAGATTCAATTGGTGACAGAAGAAAGGGAGAGTAGCACCTGAACTCCCCAAAATAGATCTGATGAGTCAGACAGACAGTAGGACACAATCAGACAGTAGGACACAATATATCCTCAACTGGGGGACACATAACTCAAATGTGAAATGAAAGACTTATGAAACCACTGCTAGCTAGGATTTCCATTTTGATATTTTCTCCCTGAAAGACTAGGGTTTCCTAGCTACCTAGGATTTCCATTTTGATATTTTCTCCCTTCCCTTTCTTATCTGGCTTGGTTAATCAAAGTTTGAGGTTGTGTGTAACTTCGGATGAGTATCTGCATTCTTATAAGGCCTTTCAGTGGCTAAGTCAGAATTAGTGTATGAAGGTATATCTTTCTCCTCCACATTCTGCCATTTTTTCTTCTTTTTACTTGTGGCAAAAAATCACTGCCTATTACCCTTTGCATCAGTAATTAAAAGGATGTGACAGAAGTAAAATATTCTTGTGTCTCTTTGAACATCTCTAAGCATTTAAAATCTACCCCTCCTTGGCATGCCTACAAAGTCCCTCAAGCACCTCGCCACCTTGCTAGTACCTTCTTAAACAGTAATTTTCCGTGTCTGTTTTTTCTGACTGCTTTATGTTAGATGTCACTAACCCAAGCTACTTTGACAAGTCTAGCTTCTCGCCACCATCTTTCGGTTGTAAGATTCTTCTTGCTAGTACTTTCTTAAACAGTAATTTTCCGTGTCTTTTTTTCTGACTGCTTTATGTTAGATGTCGCTAACCCAAGCTACTTTGACAAGTCTAGCTACCAAGTCCTCACACTCTTGACCTTTCTCTGAATTCTGAGCAGGTAAGCAAGCTCACTCACTTCCTCAGATACACTCCATTTCAGCACTTAATGTGAATGGTTCATTCAATCTAGTCTTTGTGCTGTGCTGCAAGTTGGCCAAAATCTTATTCCTTCCCTACTCCAGAGTAAACCAAATGGTTTAAATCACAGCAACAAATCAACACTACTTTAGGAGCCAAGGCTCGTATTCCTTGTCATGTGCTAAGTGACATAACAGATATGTATAATGGAATATAAACCTTTTCTCTATAACTAGCAGCAATGTGCCACTGGGATTTACACTTTTTGATTTATGTCAACATATATAAAGTGATTCTGGCCAACATTTGATTGTCACATGTACCCTGGTCTTCACAAGCCAGAACTAACAATACTTGTTACTAGTGGCTTACTTTTCACACCCCTAAGTAGCAACATATGTGCTGTTTTACCCTAGTTAGTTATACCCAACGGATTCCAGTTGGGCAAATTAAAAATAGTTCAGTGTTATCAAGTGACAAACCAATTTAAGAGAGAGGTGTTGGGTTTTCTTAATTTCAGCATAACAAGACAGGCAAAGAAATATTCAACCCAAAGAAAAAGGAACTTGTTATACCTCTTTCTGTGTAAAATAAAAATAAAACTGGTCATGATCATTGAACAGTTTGTGGGCTGCTGTGCTGCTGAAATTAATTTTTTAAAATTGAAATGGAAATAATAAATATGTGTTTTATAAAGCAAATAAGACAAATGTAACTTGTTTACCTTTTTAAACTACAGTGTGAAAAAGTGAAACACTGGCAATTATAATATGCCTTTGTTACTATATATTATATTTATGCAACCATCCAGATGTTGCATAAATTTATTGAATTTGTCAAGGCTAAGCTTACAAAAAGGTAAGGATGTATAAGCTCTGGCACAATGTTTACACATTCTTGAACATGATGCAAACATTACCTATAATGATGCACTCAGAATTTACACCAAGACTATGCTTTGTAATTTATTGTTTATTATCAGTCACTGGACATGGATCTTTACAGGAAAATCTAAAAGACAAAAGGATTTGATTTGTTGATTTGATTGACTATCATATGTGAATTTTAAATTGTTTTTATGACAGTGTAAATAAATCATGTGCCTACGTACCGTA